GATGATGGACTCTGACTTTTGTCCAAGTCACTACTTTCAACCTAAGGTTATGTTTGTTACTTATTGAGTACATGGGGTCGGTTGTACCCATACTACACTTTTGCACCTTGCATGCAGATTTCTGATGCTGATGTTGCTGTGTATGGCGGGAGCTGACATGGAAGATGTACCTGTGATCCGGTCATAGTTGCCTCTTGTTCATGGTAGCTTTAGAATTTTTAATATATTCATGTATATTTCAAACAGATGTTGTATTTTATTTCATACCAGCTTTATTAATACTAAATCTTAGAAGCTCATGATTTGTACTACCAGTCCTTGGAAAATGTGTTAAAGTCGGTTATTTCGTCACTTATTTTATTAGTAAATTTCATTTGAATTTTATTTACGTAAATTGACTTACCTAACGGGTTGGGTTATGTGCCATCACGACTAGTTGGATTTTGGGTCGTGACTCGTAACAGAAAATGTAAATGTTAAGAAAGGAACCTTGCACCAGTGAGCATGTGATGGTTGGGTCCCTCCACCCTTAAATAATCTTTGAATATAAAATGAAAGAAAACAATCAATTTGTGACAAGAAATTGACAAGGTGAACCTGCTCGGGTGAATTATAGCCGGGAGGTGGAGGAAAATATTCAATTGGCACGTCAATAGAAGGTTCTGATTTTCTGATATAACATGATATTGTGTACTTTGGGCCAAGCCCGTACGATTTTTTTCAAAATGCCTCATACTAACAAGAGATCCCTTCAACTTATATACATGCTCTCAATTTTTTCAGCTACCAATATGAGACTTTGTTCCCACACCCAATAAGCTCCTCCTCGAACTAAGTTTCACATGGCCTACTACCACGATCCACATGTCTCCCACTCGAACCAAATCTACGTGGCCACACATGGATCCACAAGTCAATTTTCGAGATTTACTTTGTGCCACCCAGATTGTTTGAGTATTATGGCAACTTAAGCCAACAACTACCTTCTTCTTGTATGTGCATCTCCAAACTCGTAAAGATAAGCAAACTGGGCCCTACAATATCACTTATCCATCACTATACTCGTCCTACCAAATCTCAGTTTTGATACTAGTTGTGGGGCTAAAAGAATCATAAGATACTCTTAACATGGTGTGATATTGTCCGCTTTGGACTAAGCCTGCACGGTTTTTTCCACAAGGCCTTGCACCATTAAATGATCCCTACAACTTATATGTAGGCTCCTAATCTTTTCAACTACTAATATGGGACTTTGCTTGCACACCCAACAGTTCTTTATATCTCAAAAGGATTGGAACCTTCCCAAATTTTTTATTTGGAGCACTTCATTTTGTTTTTTTATCTCACTGGAATGTGTTCTTCTCATTTGATTTAGGAGTCGTTTAGATATGATTTACCAACTCCTGTTGTACATGTTGACGTCATTGTGTACGGATAAAATCGGGAATAAAAGTTATCCTCGATTTACCGATAAAGAAACAAGAAGACAGCGGGGCCCGATATGATCTCGAGTAATGTCGAGGGCATCCACACCTCAGAGCCCGGAGAGGACAACTGGTGCGCTCGATAGCGGACACGACCGAGCATTGGGTCCAAGCAGAGTGAAGGGCCGAGACTGGGGGAGACGACTATTAGATACGATAAGCGGGGGAGCGTAATATCCGCCCTAAACCAGATGTCACAGCGCAAATCTCACCTGATTTCAACTGCAGATCAACGTTTACTGGACGGAGAAGATTTTTTTTACCTTATTTAGACTTGTACTAGGGTTGGAACTCCCCTACTATATAAAGTGAGGAACCTTTTTATTTTTTCACACACTGTTAGTACGCATATCAAAATAATAAAATTAATTTTTGTCCTTTAGCTATTGTTCTAAGTGTTCTTCAGCTGTTTGTTTATCAAGTTATAACCGAGCTCCTTCGGAGGGCTAAATCGGAACCAAATCCCAGACGTCCAAAGCGAAGCTGAACTTGTTCCTCCACTACATTTGGTTTGATCGCTCTGATTTTCTTTATTTAATTATTTATTGTTCATAACTCATTCGTGTTAAATTAAATCACATATCATTTAACCACGTATAAATTTAATTGTTACTCATTCTAAGGGTAAACAATGATGCCAAACCTTTCACCATAGTACAATATATATATATATATATATATATATATATATATATATATATATATATGTATTTACACACACAGTAGTGTATATTTGTTTGGATGGATATAATGTTATGGAGAGTTAGGTTAAATCGTCAATGTATGATTACCATCAATTAATTAGAAGCAAATGGCACTATATTGAGTTATTATAGAACGGAGAGAACTTCCACACCATAATAATAACTACTCTAAGAAAAAGTCCCCCTAACCAGATTCCATGTTCGAATGTGCCCACTAATCATCGAAATCTTAGGGAAAGACAGAAATAGTTGACCACCATAGTACTATTTCCATTTGCAAATATGACCTAAAGATAAAACATAATTAAGGTCATCGTTAGGTAGTGACAAATGTGAAACGACAAGGCGATAATGGCCGTCCAACTCATCCCTCAATCTTGTGTTGTTTGATCAAATCAAATAGAATGTAACTTGGGAGAAAAATATAACTTATATGCCCTAGCAATTAAAAAAAATGCACATTATATTTTTTAAACTGGTTATACTATGTTATTGAATAAGTCTATTGTAAGTTACCTGTTGTTATAGCTAGGTCATATACATTGACCATTGTCAAGAGCAAAACTTAAAGTTCTAATCATAATTCATTGCTTTGAATTATTAGTTAAAAATTCTTCCCGTATTACCCTTTCATTGGCGCCAAAACCGTTCAACTCCAGCCTGAACATCGAGGGCATCATGGTACAATCATAGACTTGCTGTTATATATCCGGCAGATCAATGTAGGAATTGGACGTGGCAGCTGAGGCTGTAATTGTAATACTTTATGCTGATAAAGAGATACTCTGCTGATATTCTTTCATCCCTCTTTCACTTTCTTTTTTCCCATGAATTAGTGTATATTTGTACCAGAAACTATGTCAAACTCGAAATATATATATGATGCACCTTTCAAACCGTAGAACTACCTTTGCATTAACATAGTATTGTGCATTTAATTCATCGTATAAGATTAATATTGCTCTATACTGAAACAACTGGATTCATTTGCAGGTCTATTCTTGACGTGATTTGAGTCGCATTTTTGTATCGTAGACCAGCTTCTGGTTTCAATATCATAAACTCCTAGGTGTTCCAAGAAATAAACAATGTTTGATGCATTGTTAAAAAGCAAGTTCTACACCAAATGGTAAGTATATCGGATGTTAATTCTGCAACAAAATTAAGTTTCAAAGAAACATGATATGCATTACTCGTTTTTGTTTGTGTGTGTGTGTGTGTTGGTTTTGTCTGGTGCAGCAAGTCTGTGATCAAGCTGACAAAGACTCGAATCGAGATGATCAGAAAAAAGAGAGAAGCTATGCTTAAATACTTGAAGAATGATATGGTTGACCTTCTTAAATCTGGATTGGATGTCAACGCTTACAACCGGGTGATTTTCTTTTCTTATTAATGTGTTTGATATTCTTATCTTGAAATATTTTGTGCTGTTTCAATAGATGCTTACATAGTTCAAGCTGAAAGCAATAGTTTCAGTTGAAACCAAGTACCTGTCTTAGATTTGCCTCTAGTTACATCTGTTCTCTATTTATTTTTAGTTTCTAATTTGGTGGTTGTTTGCAAAGATGTTCCGTGTTCAAACTTATTGTCAGAGTAGTTTGAAAGCAACGAACCCTCAATAATAATAACCCTATTAGAGGATCTTTAAGACCAAAATTCAGATTTCTGAATTCTTTTTCTGTTTGATGATAATGCAGACTGTAGAATTTCCTAGGCCTTAATATTGTTATTTGTTTCATGCTAGTGCCATTTCTAGAATTTTTAAGCCTTAGACAAAGTCAATTTGTATTTTCTCCCTCTTCCCCAAAAGGTTGGAGATTGATTCTGACATAATGTTTCTGGTTGTTAACGCAACAGGCTGAAGGCCTTATGTTTGAGCTCAATATCTCGATCTGTTATGATATGTTGGAGCATAATTCTCTGCATATTTCGAGTCACCTCGCTATAATGAGTAAACAGAGGTACGTGCACTAGTTTTTGGGCCAGAGGTACGTGTAATATGTGTATATAACATGTATATTATATATATTGATGTATATTATAAGTATATTTATACTTAATATACAAAACATATACATTTTCCGGTTATTATTTTTTAGAGCGGCTCAAAAATTTAATTATCCCTTAAATTTTCATTTAGTTGGTCTCCAGTAGTATGTTAGGCCCGAATTATTAATATTGCAGTTGCATATAGTGGAAGTCATGTTAATATGCTGCTTCCTCTTTTCCCCACTTGTTAATATTGCATTTGCATATAATGGAAATCATGTCATATCAATATGTTCTACCTCTTCTCCCTCACTTGTTAATTGTTTCTGGGTAATTCTTGTTTTTAGGGTGTGCCCTGAGGATTGCAGAGAAGCCGCGTCGACGTTGATGTTTGCAGCAGCAAGATTTTCTGACCTTCCAGAATTACGTGGACTGAGAGCTACATTCACTGAGAGATATGGAAATTCTCTCGAACTTTTTGTGAATAAAGAGGTAGTTACTTAAGGTCTTCTGAAGGGGAGCCTTGGCGTAACTGGTAAAGTTGTTGTCACGTGATTAGGAGGTCACGGGTTCAAGCCGTAGAAACAGCCTCTTGCAGAAATGCAGTGTAAGACTGCGTACAATAGACCCTTGTGGTCCGGCCCTAATTTCCCGGACCCCGCGCATAGCGGGAGCTTAGTGCACCGGGCGACCCTTTTTACTTAATGTCTTCAGCAACGTACATAATAGTACTCACACATAAACTTTCACATGGAGCTCTTTCTTCCTTTATTTAAAATATTCATATTCATATTCATTTTCATTTCTTGACAGTTTGTTGAAAAGCTAAAGTCACAACCACCAACAAAGGAGATGAAGCTTCAATTGATGCGAGATATAGCAGTAGAATCTGGTATAAAATGGAACTCAAGGGATTTGGAGCAGAAGCTATATAAACAACTGATGTCTGAACAAGTAAGTTTTCTATAGAACGATCGCAGATGTATCCTAAAATTGTCGTTGGCTACACATTGAAGATATGTTTCCACCCTAATCAGACTTCTTTTGCAACTTATTTCTATCTTTCACAGGGCAGGCCCAAGAGTCACAATGATGAAGAGCATAAATTGCACAAGAAAATGGATGAATCAGCCCGGAGCAAAGAACACGAAGACAGTAAACTTAATCATGAGAATGTGAGACAACATACAACTTCTAAAGCGAAAAGGGAGCATCATTCATCTTATGGCAGAAAGGAAGTCCCTGGTGATGTACATAGTTTGCCTAAGGGAAGGGACAGTGACAAACAAAAAAGAGATAATTTAAGTCGCGCATCCAACAGAAATTTGGATGACATACCTCCAATCAAAGATGGCAGAAAATGTAAACAAAATGAACCAGATATCAGTAGCTGTGTATCTAAAGAAGAATCTGATGACAAGAAGCCATTCTATTATAGGTCATTTCAGCCTAATTACACCAAGTCAAGAGCATGCATTACAAACAGCAGTTCAGATGTATCTCCTACTTGTTCCACTGAGGAGGCACAGAAACATACAGAAATGACTCAGATGAAGGTTCAGTTGTCCAAAGAAGAAGGTACATGTGTAAATGATACAATCAAAAAGCCAAAACCAAAATCAGTTAGGAGGACACGTCTGCAGCCGATGCATGGTTCTGAGGAGGACTCAGATAGATTGAAAGGCGAGGAGAGAGGAAAGAGCCGTACTAGTGGAGTGAAAGATAACGGAAAACATGGCATAAGAATCACAAAAGGTGATCATCACGATCAACGGGATGAAGAGGAAAAGATGATGGACAGGCTTTTGTTACACTATACTCGGAAACAGCTTCAGAATGAAATTCAGAAACCAAAATCAGTTGTTAAGTTACCTAAACTAGCTGAAGTTGACGCTGGTGAAGTTTCAAGGCAGAGATTTCCAAATGGTCCATCAGGCCGAGCAGCAATTACTCCCATTGAATTGAAACAGGCAAGTTCAGTAGCACTCAGAGTCAGAGAAGGGCACACACAGGCAAATTCCTTTGAGCGTGATATGTTGAGTCCAAATGGGCATATCCATCCCAAGCTACCGGAGTATGATGACTTTATCACTCGACTCAGGCGAATATAGTGTTGAATCGACGATTCAATTTAAATCCTGAATCCGTCTCTAACTCAACTGGCAGCTAGCTCTAACAAGGAAGTTTAAAGAATAAATTTGAAGTCAATTAGATGTATCATTATGCCATTCTTCATATTACTAATGGCTTTCTCATCATATTCTCTGTCAACAAGTTAGGACTGTAATCAGGAAGTAGTATAGAAAATGCTTACCTTATCATTTATTTGTAAATGGGAAATTAGTTCTAGAACTTGACTACAAGTTCTTAACATGAGTAAGAGAGATGAGTATTCAACTGTAGTCATAAGGAGATTAACTGAATTCGAACGTGGAACAGGTAAGTTACTACTTTTTCTCAGGGCGGACCTAGGTTCGACCGAAACCAGTAACTTTAATCTTAACTCTATATTTGTATTATATGTACAACAATTAAATTTAAAACTCAGTTACTAATTTTCCTAAAATTTGAAATCCATGAAGTTCAAATCTTGGCACCGCCTCTGCTTTTACTATATTACAATTTAATGCTTATCAAATGATTTATATGTAATTAATTACCTAATAAATAACCTGATTATGTAAATACTTTTTGATATTATCAGTGCATAGACCTCAAAATCTAACCTTTTAACACTCAGCTATTCTATTGGGTGCACAAATAGTCATTCTAAGGGATGCTATTCAGAGATTATTCAGCTGAAATTTTAAACTGAAAATCTTAATTTCAGGACAATTCATGATATTTTTGTCATGAAAAACTGAAATTCAGGACGCACCGGCTAATTCCTAAGTAACCGCCCTTTATAATGGCTACCTGGTGTTATTTCTACGATATTATTGGTTCAATTTCTGCCAATGTGCTGTTAATGGACCCCGTGTACAAAAGGCCAATCAAAATCAACAGTTGAAGAAAGCCCATTTAATCAGTTTAGGACCCATATTCAACCAGCCCGAGTTTGGGTGCACATAGATATCTATATTTAGTATAATGAACAAGCAAATTTGGACAGAGAAAGTATATACCGTCACCTCACGCATACAACTTAAACTCAAAAGGAAATACATTACACTGTAGATATACATCTTTTTCGCCTATATAAGTTTGTCCGCTCCTATGTTTCCCCATGCATTTGCACAATCTAAAAATCTCAACAACCACAAAAACTCAGAGTCTCAATTCACCTTTCAGATCACAAATTAACACCCTGTTTTGTCCACTCAGTACTCTCATGGATGACTTAGACAATGGAATTAGCGTCTGCTGTAGGCGGAGCTACTCCGGCAGAGAGTACAAACGTTTCGCATCGTATAAATTGCCGGCCGTTAACAGATCGAACAAAGCACCGGCCATCTGGAGATTGCTGTGGAGAAAGATGAAGAAAGAGAGGAAGAAAATTTTTGAACACTCCAAGTCCAAATCAATGCGGTTTACTTATGATCCACATTCTTATTCTCAGAATTTCGATCAAGGTTCAGCCATTTTGGCTGACGCTCAGGAACTTTCTCGATCATTTTCCGCTCGTTTTGCTGTTCCTTCTAGAATCTTCCCCAAGAATGAATTAATTGTTTGATGGAGAATCAAGAGAACTCTAGAAACTGGAGAAGCATCAATCTTTGTGTAATTCTAGTTGTCATTTTTATTTCTTCTGTAAATATATTGTACTCTAATTTGGTGTTAATTATGACAAAATTAATTTAGATATTATGTTTGGCGTTCTACTGCAAACTCTTCTATTACTTCTTACGCGGCAGCAGTTTATTCTAATGTTGTTGGTAAATAGGCAACTTTTTTGGGGCGGGTTTAGGAATTTTAGAATATGGATGCACTACTAATAATAAAAAGACGGAAAAAAAATGTAAATGGAAATTGATCATGAATAGTGAGTGATTCAATGCTCATTAAGTATATCATTAAATCTTTTTGGAGCATGCCAACAGATTATATTAGACAATTCTAAGAAATATGTACATAAAATATTTAGACAGAATGATCATGGGTTCACGTGCACTGTTGATAAAGTATTAAATCCGCCCTTGTTTGCACTGTCATTGTAAGGGACTCTTACACTATTAAGTCATCTTTACCTATTGCGACGATTAAGTTATCTTATTTTTAAGATTACAAAACTCACCTATATACATTTGTTGGATGATCTAATAATGTAATTTTTTGTACACGGAAAGTGTATAATACTGTACACTGAAAGTGTATAGTTATAACTTAAACTAAGTCATTTGAATTTTCTTATAATGACTTTTAATTTTAACTTGTTAAGAATTTTCTTATGATCTTATCCATGTTGTACATGAAAGTTCTAACAATTAACTTCTGTTATCACAAGTAAAGTTAGATGCTTTATGGATATATAGATCTTCTTTTTCTTCTTTTTGAACTTTATTTTTCTTTTGATCAGCTATATATGCTTTACAGGTTATTCCGTCCCCTTATCTTGACTTCTTTTTCTCATTCGATGTTGAAGTAACCCAATAAAGGCAATAAGAATATTTCATTGAGTTCCTTTTTTGCTGTTGAATAGATGACAAAGCTTAGCACACAATCGAGAAATGTTTTCAGTGAATCTTTTTCCCATGTGGAAAAAATGACGGCTGACCAAAATGCAGGGGCGGATGTAGCATCCAACGGGCGGGTTTAATTGGATTCATAACTTTTAAGACGGAACATAATTTTATGCGTAACAATTAATAAAATTACAAAATAGTAAATATGAACTCCTAACTTTACAAGTATAATGAGTTTAATAATAAGAACTTTAAATATTGAATCCATACAAGTTTAAATTATTGATCCGACTCTGCGAAAATGCCGCACAAATCCATAAATGATCCACTAAGTTTCTTTTTGCTATCGTCAAAGGACACCATTAGCAAGACAGAGCTATCCTTGGTGAAACTTGAATATCATTTACCGAAAAATTATATATTGTACATATATATTATTTTTTATGTATATATATTAAATGTTGAACACATTTAATAAAATTTTCTGGCTCTAACCCTTGACCTTATGCAAACGAAGAACTCTTGCCTAAATTTAAGTTTAAACAAGATTAGGTGATGGAATTACTCATTTGAGGGTCACAAGTCAATAGTGAAGGCCGTTAAATTTTTACATTATATTATATCATGAGAGGCTAGCTAGCTATGGTTGTATTTTGTATTATTAGTGTAAAGCCAAATTAATATATAAATTATGCAGGCCGAATAGGCTAAAAATAAATTCTGCATTTCTGCTTAGATGCACCAGCATCTATATTGACTATCCTGGATTTCATGGTATTGGTATTGGTATTCCTTTAGTTTTAAGATAGATTTGTAGGAGCTCTATTCAGAATATAGATAGTTGTTTTTAAAAGTTTCACCCTTGACATCATATTTTTCACCATTTTTATGAGAGTACGATTTTGTCTTTCAGCTATATCATTCTATTCAGGAACACCTTGCATGATGTATTGTATTATTATCCCATATTCTTGTAAAAATAAAGCAAAAGGTCTCATACATTGATTAATTAGACTCATTATATTTTCTATAGTACTCACCACCGTCGTCAGCAGAAGCGGATCCAGGATCTGATGGCTATGGGTGGTAGTGTATTTAATATATAAACTTACCGCTAGTCAAGGAAGCTGTATTAGGGTGTGCATCTAGTCGGTTCGCATTATTTTGAATTAATTATGTTCACTGTACAATATTATTTTGGTGCATAAAAATACACGTGACAATCAAACTGAAAATGTTTGATTCTTGATTTGAAATTAAAAAAAATAACATCAACTAAGTAAAAAACCAAAAATGATATCAAAAGCATATTCAAATAAATATTTTGAGATCTAGAAAAAAATATAAGTAAATATACTTTTATAATAAATAATTATACATGGAGTTAAAATACAAAAATGGAAACAAGAGAAACTAAAGGTGTCAAAGGGGTGGGCCGGGTCGGGCCGGGTTGACTAAAAAGTGACCGGTCGGTCATCAATTCGGACCGGTTATCGATTTTTTCAAATAGAGTTTAACCGGTCCGGGCCCATCCGGTGAAATATTGAACCGGAACGGTTACGGGCCTAAGGGGCCGGGTTTATTTTTTATTTTTTGTATTTTGTATAACTATCGTAATTTATATTAATATAAAGTAAGAATATAAAACAAAAAATAATCTTATAAAAAGAGTGTTTGAATAAAGGATGCAAAGGCTTTAAAATTCTTATATTTGAATATTTCATTAAAAATTTAAGATAATAGAATACAATGAAGATGGAAAAAAATTGCACTTATAATTTGCAAGTTCTTTTTTTATTTCAAACTTGCAAACTAAAGTTTACATTTAACAACAACTAAATTAACGAAAAAAGAGTAAATTCAAAGTTTAATTATTAAATATAAAATTATAAATCCAGAACTTCAAAGGTTTTGCATTGCCTTAGTAAGTTCTTCATAATCAATATGAACTTCTTGGCCTTCTTCTGGAGTTTTAACTTCAAAGGCTTTCATAGTTTCATTTTAAATTTTTATTGCATAACAATACTTTAAATTAATCAAACAAACTAAAACATTAAGCATAAATACGTTTAATAATTTTAAAATAACACAAATTATTTCAAATCAACTTAAAATTTTAAATACGAATTCCTGGAGGACGCTCAAGACAACTCTTCAGATACCTCCTTAAACAGCCTGTGCCTTCCCACTTTCGACGAAGATTTAAAACTCGACCACAGTTCTTACATTTTACTTTGTGAACTTCTTCATTTTCTTCTACCACCTCAAAGTGTTCCCAAACATATGAGCGCACTCTAGAAGCACGGGGCATGATTTAACTTGAATTGAAAATTTGAGTTTGAGAAATGAGAGATGAGTGAAGAAATAAAGAAGAGGGGGTGTATTTATAATTTTTTAAAGGGCTAAATTAGTAATTACTAAAAGTGTTATTTTTTAAAATAATTGCCCAAAAAAGGGCTATTCTTGCATTGGGCAACAGTCAAATTGGAAGTTGACTGTTACCAACAATCAAATGAATTTAAAAAAAATAATCAGAAAATAGCCGTTGAACCGGTCCGGCCCGGCCCGGTTAACCGGCTCAACAGTAATTTTTCTTGATCGGGTTTGACCGATCCGGTTAACTGGTAATGAAAATGTAAACGTCCCAACCCCCAAACCCAGCCCTACCCGACCCCCCACCACCGATCCGGGTTAATGCCGTTCTGGGATGGTCCGGAACCAGGTCAACCCGACCTGTTAAACACCCTTAATAGAAACTAAGAAAAAGAAAATATGGAAAGAGGGAA